TCGCCAAGCTTTCGGCTCGTATGATGTCATTGGTATCAACGAGACATGGTTGCACACGGGAATGACGGACGTTGAAGTGTCGCTACCCGGCATGTCGCTGATCCGGAACGATAGGCTCACAAAAGGAGGCGGGTTAATCCTGTACTACCGAAACGACTTACAGTGCGAAGCCGATGGAGGATTCAGATTCGCAGTTCCCCGACTCTCTTTGGTGCCGGTTGCAGTTAAAAGGCAGGGACGCTTGCCTTATTATCCTGGTGTACCGCGCCCCTAACTCAACATCCGAAACCGACTACCACCTAATGGCTGCTTTAAGGTGCAGTTTACAACAAAAGTACACTCACATTCTTATCATGGGTGATTTCAACGTACATTGTTTAGAAGCCCCTGCCACAACCGGCGAACAATTCAAAACCGATTTACAAGATCTAGTAACTACTGCTCCTCTTTACAACCACATCACTTTGCCCACTCGGTTCAGAACTGGTAACAGGCCATCTGTGTTGGATCTTGTGCTTACCAACGAGGAGCATATGATTGATGCGTTGGTTTTAGACTGCCCGTTGGGTCGCAGTGATCACGCAGTCATCAGTTTCAACTTCGTCTGCTATGCAGAATATCGGAATGATAACGATGATACTGTGCGAACCATCACAAGGTACGACCGACTCGCCCAGCTAGTCAGCGCCACAACATGGTCTTTCCTCGAAGAAGAACCCCCAGAATTCGCCTGGCTCGAGTTCGTCAAAACATTCAGTCAGCTGATTGCACAGGCTTCAGAGATAAAAGCTTGCAATAAGTGCAAATCCGTTTCTTTCGTTAGGAGCAGAACCCGAAAATGGATGATAGTACGCAACGCAGCATGGCGAGTGTACAAAGAAGCTCTAGCACCAGAAACGTGGGACAACTACGTAGCCCAACGTAACCACTGCACTCAACTGTTAAGAGAAGACAAAGCCGCCTATCAGCAGAACATCACAAAAACCTTCAGTGCTAACCACAAACTGCTGTACAAGCACGTTAATAGCCTACGAAAGGTGAGGCAAGGATTTCCTACACTCAAGACGGCTGAGGGCCCAACAAGAACGTCTATGGAAGCTGCAAACGCGCTGCAGATGCAATACGCCCCCACGTTTCAAAGGGTCTTGCCACCAAGCGATCTAACAAGTCTTGTATTCTGCTCACCAGGACTAACCCACATCAGTTTTACCGCAGAGGCTGTATTGCAAAAGCTGACTTCTCTACGCAAACACAGCTCGCCGGGTGTCGACGCCATTCGTCCTGAGGCATTGGGAGTAGCAGCAAACCAACTGGCAGGACATTTAGCTCAGTTTTTTCAGCACTGCTTAGACCAGAACCAAGTTCCCGCCATGTGGAAGCTTGGAATAATAAGCCCGATTCACAAAGGTGGAAGCAGATCTGATCCCTCCAACTACCGCCCAGTAACCCTTCTTCCTATACTCTCCAAGGTCATGGAATCCATAGTTGCCGATGCACTGGTGTGCTATCTGGAAAACCGCAACTTCATCACTCCTAAACAGCACGGTTTCCGTCGACAGCGGTCATGTACAACTAATTTACTCATTGCACGCAGTAGTTGGACCGAGGCAGCCGACGCTGGAGAAGGTGTTGATGTGATCTACCTGGATTTTTCCAAGGCTTTCGATCGTCTAGACCATCGGATACTACTATCCAAGCTGCAGCATTACGGGATCGGCGACCCTCTTTTAAGCTGGATCGCCAACTTTCTATTTCAAAGGCAATTAGTGGTCAGAGTTCGGAGCTCTTTATCGGACCCCATACAAGTGGAGTGTGGTGTGCCGCAAGGCTCAGTTCTAGGTCCACGTTTGTTTCTGGTGTTTATTAATGACCTTGCACAGGGAATCGCTTCAAACTTCCTAATGTTTGCCGACGATATCAAGATCTGGCGCAGGATCCAGGCGAACGCCGACCAACTTGTGCTCCAAAGTGACTTAGATACAGTGTATTAATGGTCGATCCAAAACTTATGGCATTTCAACGTCAGTAAATGCAAGGTGCTTTCCATCCGACATCACGGCAGCTACTCATACCGACTCGGAACGGATGTACTGCAACAATCAAGTCTCGAAAGGGACCTGGGGGTCCTGGTTCAAGATGACTTGGGTTGCTCCAGGCAATCCGAAAAGGCCTCGAAGACCGGGAACCAACACGTTGGGCTGTTGAGGCGGGCGTTTGGACAAATAAACAGCTCCATATTTCGACAAATGCTCAGTGCGTATGTTCGCCCCCATGTCGAATACGCAATTCAAGCCTGGCATCCATGGCTGAAACACGACCTTAATGCACTGGAGCAGCCTCAACGCCGGGCATCTAAGAACGTAACTGGAATGCGCAATCTGTCCTACCAGGAGAGACTGCGACGACTAGGATTGTTCAGTGGAAGCTATCGCAGGCTACGAGGCGACCTGATTATGACATACTTGATTCTGCGAGACCCACATCATGTGTGCCGCCCTTTACTGCAACTCAGCAGCAATACAAACCTGAGGGGCCACTCATTAAAACTCGCAGAACAATACCGTCGTCTGGAGTGCCGCAGAAATTTCTTTTCCATCCGTGTCTGTCACCCGTGGAATGCTCTGCCAGAATCGGTCGTCTCTGCACCGACACTAACAATATTTAAAAGACGGTTGGACGATGCACTCATCCACTTACACTTTGTTACTTAACACTATGTCTCCATCCTACACCTGGAATTATTTGTTGTTAACTGTGAGTGTTGTGAATCTAAGTGGATCGCAGGACTGCAGCGAAGGAAACGATAAGTCCATATTTTCGTATTTAAAGTGTTAACTATTTTACTATCCTTTTCATCATAATTATTATGTTGATATCTCCACCAACTATCCAACGGGGCTTGTAAAGCAACGCTTCTTAACCCGTATAAATTCATTGTTCATTGGATTTGAATTCTGGAACGTTAGTGATCACCAGACTTAAGGCACCAAGCTGGCGCCTGGTGGTTCTCGGCTTAAGAACACTAGGTCCTTTCGCTTTCTGTTGGTTCGCCGGCAAAACTGGCGATAGCAATTCATGCTGCGACACTTCAGTTTTGCCAAGTCAGGTAATTGGATTCACGGTTGTATTTTTTGACGTCTTCCTGGAAGCAACTGATGCGTATGATGTTCGGTTATTTTTTATTATGGACAGGTTTTAGCTTCGTCTCTTAAGTATAGAACATGAATTACTAGAAGCTATACCCTTGCAGGAAGTAGAAGCAAGCAAGCTGCTAACGACTTGTCCGTTTAGGGGAGTGAAGTGGGTTGGGACAGCTAGAGACTCAGACGCTGAGGTGAGGTTTGGACGCCTTGCTCTCTTATTTGGCCCGAACAGGGGAATATATGAGTCCGTTGAGATGCAAACAGTTTTGTTTACGTAGACAGGCTTATCCCTGGTGTTCATCATTTACTCAAATGCCTCCTTCAGTTTTCACAGGTTTCAAGAAAACGAGTAAACAACTAACGACCAGGATGGATTTGAGCATCTGGCAGAACCAAAGCGCCCGAGTTTTGCAGCTATACTGCCTAATTTTGAGTGGAATCATCTATATATACTTAGAGTAGTATGCCTTATAGCAGTTAAAACACGTTTTCCTCATATTGATGACTCTAGCACATATGTCACATTTACCCTTCGGGTGAACCACGATTATGCGTACTTTTGTGGTTTCGCGCAGGTTTTAATGCCCATAAACCGTACAGCTTTCCAGAACTCACGACGAGTTTGGGATGAACCACGCCTCGAATGATTGTGCAATCGCTCACGTGCACTGGTTGGCAGGGTAAACAAGCCCGACTTGTTGGTTGGCGAGTCGATGAATGTCCGTTCTGAAGATGAATGCTAGTGATATGTGCAGACAGAATAAGAAAGCATGAATTCTTTTACAGTCGTCTTGAGGAACACGGTATTGGAATAGGCTCGGGATCGTTGGGAAGCATGGAGACTTTTGCGTCGAACGATGCAACAACACTGAGGTTGAATTCAAAACGATAACTTTGTGCGCGTGGATTTAAACACGAGAACCGTTTAGAATGGCGCGTGTTGGTGGGGAATCGTAAGTCGTAGAAGGCGATTCGGCATATGATACCCCAGTGAATAGTGCTGGTAGATGCGATTCGAATGGGTACGGTGACTACGCTGAAATAACCTAGAGCGCGATAACTACGTGCCTTCCGGCTGGAACACCTAGCAACATTTGCATTGAGCGCAGCTACACCGGGGATATCAAACAACCAACACATCATTTGAAGGAAAATAAACACGCAATATTTGGTAGGATAAAAGGATCGAGCAAATCAAATAAAGTGGAATACTTTTTATCCAGGTTAAGCTTTAGTATAAGTAAATGTGTAAACATAAAAATATTAAGCGGTATTATTCTTCGACAGTGCGGAGCACAGTTCAAATGAGTGGTCTGATCAATTTTGTAAGTCGGTGTAACCCAACTGCGGCGAAAAAGAATGGTGTATGCAACATCAATCTCAGCGTGAGACACCATGTGGATAGGAAAGAATATGAAAGAAAATAAAGGTGAAAACTTGAAAGCCATGTTACATGAAAGCACGTTCAATTATTGTAAAAAGAAAGCCACACTACACAGAACAAATCTTGATTATGCAGAAGGCGTGATACTACTGGATTTTGTCCAAGCCGAAGTAGGAAACTGACTTAAGGGACGTTACCCCGAGCCTTTGACTGAATAACCTAGCGGAATGAACTCAGGGAACAGCGACAATTTGGCGCCAGCTAGTGATTTTTCAATTCGTACGCATTTGGTTTAGTGAGTTGTCAAACGTGGGCCCAATACACCCAATGATGTGAGCATTCGTCAGCTGGGCTACTATGATCCATAGAGATAAAGCAAGGGCCAGTAAATGTAAATCGTAGCGATTTACACCAGCCAAACCGCGGTACCGTTGAACGGACGAGTCGATGTATCTGGTTATCTTCCATTTCAGCCGCCGGCATCTTTGCCTGCACCATCACAGGAATTGTGTGGCTTTGCGCTGCACTAACCCACTTCTATCCGGCTGCGTTGGAGCAATCTGAGTGGGATTTTGACCGTGGAATTGGCCAAATTCCAATTATTGGCCTCGTACTGCTTTTCTCCACTCATCTCGTTCACGTGGCTATCCGGACCGGAAGTTTGGTCCTCTTCACCGCACAGTTCTACTGGATTGTCATGGGAGTGTTGAGTTTCCACTTTCTGCTCGTATTGATGAGCCTGCTTACAGCCAGATGGTGCACCGGAGTGGATTATTCAAAACCGATGAAAGAGAAGGTATGTTGAGCAGCATACGAAGTAAACAGTTGAGCTTTCTTATGATATAGTATGATGTAAGACCAATTGATCTGAAAGTGGATGCTAGGCGAGTTAGAACAGTGCGTTAAAGCGCAAGGCTCTATACGATTGTTGTAATAAGTTTAACTTCTGAATTTTTGTCGATAATGGACAATGGACAATGGTTTATTACGGGTAAAAAAGCATCGCTTAACAAGTCCCTTGGGATGGAAATTATTGCGAAAATCAATTGCATAATAAAGTGAAAAGCGTTGTGGTGGACTCACCATAGACTTATGTGAAATAGCGGAGATGTTCGCATATCAAACGTATAAATCCATAAATCCATAGGTTAGGCGTTTGGCAAGACACCGTTTGATTGCGTTTTGTAGCCCCTGGCTAACAAGTCATAAAATGAAATGTGAGACAATGCATCATCAACACGTTTTTTAAACATCGCCAGATTGGGAGCAGAGACGACATAATTAGGGAGGGGCATTCCAAGGCTCACACACGCGGAGAGAAAAGAAATTTCTACGGCATTCAAGCCGGCTATAATGAATTGTCAGTTTCAGAGGGTGACCTCTTAGTTTAGTGTTGTGGTTCAATTCCAGCAGCGGACGGCAAACGTGGTTTGGGTTCTTCAGAATCTGGTAAACCATTATGAGATCCCCCCGCAAAAGCCGATATCGACTACTGTATATTCTTAGAGATTTCAGTCTAAGCTGATAGGGCAGATGAAAGAGACCCCTGACATTCTTGGTTGCCCGTCGTTGAGGAGTCTCGAGAGCAACGAGATCCTGTTTCTGCCACGGCTGCCATGCCTGAATAGCATATTCCACGTGAGGTCGCACGTAGGCGTTAAGCATTTGGGGAAAGATTGAGGGTTCAAACCGACCGAAGGCTCTGCGAAGAAGGCCGAAGTGTTGATTTCCGGTTCTCCTCGCCTTCTCTGCTTGTTTTGAACACCCGAGATCTTCCTGTACCAATACACCCAGGTCACGCTCCTGAGAAACCTTCGCCAAGGTGTGGTCTCCAATCTTGTAAGCGCTCACCGGCTGGTGACGCAGATGCATCACTTTGCACTTAGCCATATTCAATTGAAGCTTGTTCCTCTTTGACCATTCGTAAATGCAATCTAGGTCATGTTGGAGCAGATCCTGATCTGTCTTGTTACTAATCGCCCGCCATATCTTGACGTCATCGGCGAAAAGCAGGAAGTTTGAGGAGATGACTCTTACCAGGTCGTTGATAAACACCAGGAATAAACGCGGTCCCAGCACTGAGCCTTGTGGGACACCACATTCCACGTCAATTGGATTAGAAAGTGATCCCCTACGCGCCTCGTAGACAGCACAGATCAGAGTGTAGTGGGACACTAAGCAAAATGACTGCAATAGAAATGAGAACCAAGGCAGTGTACATAAGAAGAATGAGTCTGGTGCACCTGCTAAAATGTTAAACCCAACGCCCCGACTGCAACCTTCGAACTGCTTATATGTGCTAGAGCACAAATCCAAATAAACAGTTACCGTCACAAGCAGTAGAGTGATCGCGTCACACAGACTTCCACTTTTCCCAGTGTCCAAACACAATTCGCAGTCACTTGGCAAGCAAGTGGTTGTACTAAAGCCGGACAAATGTTCAGGAGCAGTGGTGCTGAATAAGAACGATTATGTTCAAAAAATGCTAAACGTTCTAAGTGACGAAAACAAGTTTCAACGCATTGACCGGATAGAAGGCCTGACGAAGGTGGAGGTCGGTATAACCTGACACCTTGAAACGCTTCTCTCACATGGTGTAATTGATGAGACTACCTACAGGACCTTGAAGCCAAGTGGCCCATCGATACCACAGCTGTATGGGTTACAAAAGACTTACAAGGACGGCATGCCATTAATACCCATTTTGTCGATGGTAAATTCCCTGCAGCACAAATTGGCTCGCTGGTTAGTTCAGATCCTTGCGCCACTGAGGCACTACTTCAATTTGCATTGCATTAGGGACTCTTTTGACCTTAACCAAATCAGCCTAGCCGACAAGGTCATGTGTTCAGTGGACGTGCAATCGTTATTTACTAGTGTCCTTTTGCTAGAGACAGTTAATTACATTTTTCACCTAATAAAAAAGAATTTCCGTCTACCAATACCGATAGACCTTCTGAGACAATCCTTGCTACTTTACACAGAGAATGTCGCTTTCCGATTCCAGTACACCTTCCGAGGACTGCGCCGAACAGCCGGGGTCGTCTTGGATCACCATCCCAAGATCTAGCTCTTGTGAGGTGGTTTGCAGAATGTCGTCTCCATGCTTATATGGATAGGTGGGCATGCGGCGGACATGCAGGGTTTTGTACTTGCACTGAAGTAGATTTACCTTTGAGCATTCAAAAGCGCAGTCCAAGTCTCATTGCAACATACCACGATCTACTTGACAGTCGATTGCCCGCCATATCTTGATGTCATCGCCAAAAAGCAGAAAATTTGACTTGATGACCCTCGCAAGGTCGTTAATGAGGAACAAGAATAACCGCGACCCCAACATCGACCCTTGTAGAACACCGCAGTGCACACCAATTGGATCAGAAAATGAACCGCGAACTCGCACGTGAAGGCGCCGCTGAAAGAGGAAGTTTTCCATTCATCCAAGTATAGGGTTTTCAACTCCGTATGCTTGCAGATTTTGGAGAACGATGCGGTGATCTATACGGTCGAATGCTTTGGAAAAGTCTAGGTCAATGACATCAATGCCGGTCCTACTGTCGGCTATCTCGGTCCGCCTACCACGGGCAAGCAGTAGGTTGGCAGTACATGACCGGTGCTGACGGAATCCGTGTTGCTCTGGTGCTATGATGTTAGGCCTTTCGAAGTAGCCCATTACAGCCTCAGCTATGATCGATTCCATCACTTTTGAGAGCACCGGGAGGAGAATCACTGGGCGATAGTTGGCTGGCTCTGAACGGCTACCACTTTTGAAAATCGGGGTAATGATGCTTTGCTTCCACATGTTAGGGACCTGCTGTTCGTCCAGGCATCTTTGGAAAAATCTCGTTAGTGGTTCAGCTATCCTCGTAGCTGCCACCTGCAGCGCTTTCGGGGGAAGGTTGTCAACTCCAGGGGAAATATGGTTGCGCAAGGATAACAGCTTTCTCAAGATTGTCGCTGAACTTAACGTGACGTGTGCAAATACTGGCATCTGGGAGAATGGGACAGGTATGTTACAAATGCTACTAGCACGTCGGAAAATTGGGGCATATTGAAGCCGTAGAACGTTGGCTGCATCCTCGACGGTTTGAGCACATCCATTCACTGATATTAGTGGGGTACACCACGTTTCACATGCCTGTACAGAAGCTTTTTGTTAACACAAAACTTTTCCGCTAGATCCAACTGGTGTACTAATTTGTCCTCGCGCACAAGCGTGGTACAGTGATTACGGTGCACAACATAGTTACTCCAGTTGTCAGGGCTAGGGTTCGCTCTATACACATGCCACGCGGCGTCTTTTACTGTCATGCGTTTTGGGTTCTACTCCGAATGAATGATGGTGCCCTTTCAGAACGAAGGGGCTTGTTGACCGATGCAGATTTACTCAGCTCACTGAACTTGCCAGTGAAATCCAACAAAGCACTGTCAAAGGAACTGTTGTGTGGAAATTCCCGGCTGACATCACCCACAAGTATTGCCAGTATGTCGTAGTGGGTGATTGTTCGAAACAGGTTAGTGTGTTCTTATGGATACCCCGCATAACACACGAAGTCGTAAATTATGGTTACGTAGTTGCTTCGCCCCAAAGGTCTCTCCAGCCTTGGTATCTCAACCTGAGCTCTTCGTTCGTGAACACTAAATCAGTCATATATGGTTTAGTGGTTCGGTGTTGCTCCACCCAACCCTGACACCCCATAACCGGTTTCGTCCTCCTTTGGACTCGTCAGATGGAGATAGCCTGAGCTGGGGTGGACCTCGAGAAGTAGTGTTCAAAGGTTGACGCCTTGACCACTATGGTTCCTAGGTCCGCGAGCAACGCATATGGTTTATTTCCGGCTCTGAATCGGGTGGGTGAACTGACATGGCTGAAAAGCGGGATGCTTGCAATATACTCATGCAGGTCGGCCGTAAAATGCTCGTTGGGGGTTACCGGAACTTCCAAATCATGAAGACTGAAGTCACCTGAGATAAGAACATGACTGTATCGTCCTCCTTGGACCCTTCCAAAGGATAATGCTAGGTGGTAGTCCATCTCTGAGGTGGACATTGGATGATAAACAACGGCCAAAAGGCGTGTCGTTACGTCTCAGTCGCAGACTGCACCAGTCTATGATCAGCGTTTCTGGATCGGCCACCGGTTCGCAGTGCAGGTCATTGCGGTAGTATAGCATTACCTCCTGCCCTTGCTAGGTCGATCGTTTCGGAGAAGGGACATAACAGTTATCGGGACTTCGGCATCGGTAATTTTTTGAGTGCAACCAGGTTTCCGTATCGAGTATGAGGTCACAGGCATGTGACGATTTAGGTAGCCGCAGTTCGGCAAGCTTGTTCAGGAGACCTTGTGTATTGTGTACATGCAGGAAAGTTTCTCTGTTATTAGCAATGAATCGTGGGATGGGTGTTTTATTTAAAATGTTGTGCCGACCAGTGAAAGATCGGCCACTAATCGTTTTTTTGGGGGTGGGGGGATGACGAACTCATCTGCGTCCGATTCATAGGTCCTACAATTACCTCTTTGCTTCTCTCTTTGTATTTAATGTATGGGGTGTGTTTGCCAGTTTTGTTGGCTAGGTGATCCGAACTCTTATTTGTTAGTGATTTGACTAAGTGGCTGCTCTCTTGTGTTTGCCTAGAAGATGCTGCTTTGATCCAAAGCTTGGAAGGAAGGCTGCTGACATTTGTCTAGATTGAAGGACCACTTTCACAAACCTCGGGCCACATCCTTTGTAGTTCAGCGATCGGTGCAGTTTCGAGTTTGATTGCGCCATGACGTTTTCAGGGAGAGGGTCTCGC